CGGTACCGTCTTGGGAGCTGTGGAGAATTACCTGCAGAACCATGAGCTCAGGATCAAGTTGCCTGAGCTGATGCCAGGCGAAGGATTCGGAAGGACTTTCAAGGATGCCATGGAAGGATTCGATAGCTCCGCCACCGGTAAGAATCTCAACATTTTTATACAATTTTCAATATTTTTACAACAAAAAAATACATTTTAGTAAGAAAAAAATCATCAATTTTCAATAAATAATTTTAAATTTCTTAAACATTTTTGCATAAGAAAAAAATACACAAATCATTTAGTATATACATCTTATTTATGTGTTACATTTTTATTAAAAATTAACAAAGAAAAATTAAAAATTTTCATTTTATGACAAAATCTTTCATTCAAATTCTTATATGAAAAAAGAAATAAATTTTTCTGTCATTTATCAAAAAATTTCAATATTTTATTGAATTATGACTTATGAACTTTCATCATTAGAAAATAAAATTTGGTACGTTAATTCGATCATAAAAAACGTTAATCCGACAAAAAAATCAGGAAAATCTACATATTTTTCATAATTAACTCGTTGGTTTAAAATATTATTGAAATTATTGAAAGTTTACACGTTTTTCTTATTTTATGTAAAAATTCTAATTACAAACGTGTTAAAACTTTTTTTAATTATAAACATTTTTATTGTAAATATTTCATAATAATTTTGTTTGCTTTCAAAGATAAAGTTTATAAAAATTATTAGGAAAATGAATTGATAAAAATATTTATTATAATTCAAAAATATTCAAAGAAAATTTCAAAATTTCATTCATAATGATAAAATCTTACGATTTGTGCACTATTTTTGAATCTACTATAAGAGATAAACAAATTTTTATTGAAGAAATACTCAAATATTAACAAAATTTTATTGATTGGTTTTAATTATAAAAAAAACAATTTTCATTACATTTTAACAAATTAAAAAAAAAACAAATTATAATCAATTAAATACTTTACAAAACAATAATTTTGTAAAATTTATTTATTCTTTATTTACAATTTGAGAAAAAAAGTTATTAAATTTTATAAATCATCCGAAAAGATGTATTATCAAAAAATTTACTTAATAAAGACATAAAATTTCCAAATTCATGAGACTCAAAAACAATTAGTCAAAATCGATTTAGTTTATAGAAGAAAAAAAAAAATGAAATAATGAAGTTTGTAATAAAAAAAATTGTTACAGTTTATAATTGTTTCAATTATATGTGTATATCTAAAAGAGAGAACAGAATTAAAAGTGAATTAAAGTTTTTAGATCGTTGATTTCGATCATATAATTACGCTCGTTACAACTGAAAATTACAGTTGTAATTTTTTTTCTCAATCATTATACAACGAAGAGTGTAAATTTTATCTTCTCTTTTTATATCGACTTTTGCTTCGAGGCGTTTAATTATCACCACGAAAAAAAAACACCGTTTTTCTACTTTTGTTAATTATTGTAATTACTAATCCGCGCATTTCATTGGTCAGAATTGGCGCGCCCCGTTTGTGGCGGGAGATTCGAGCGCTTTAAATACCGCAGACGTTTCACAAAACACAGCAGAAACTTTATAGAAATCTTACAGAAAACATATGGATTGGTTTATAGTTTAAATTATTTCTTTCAGACAAAAAAATATCATATTTTATTTTTTCAATTTTGTAGAACATTAACAAATTTATATGTAGAAATTATCACAACAAAAAATTCAATTACAAAATGGATTTATTTAAATTTCAATTAAAGAAGAGAAAAATTTCACTTGTGATATTTTGGAAAATACAAATTTTATAAATCTTCTTAAACAAATGTAAAATTCAATTTTTTTTAACGATTCAAAGAGACAAAAAAATCAAATTTTGTTTAAAAGTGTGAAAATTGTAAAGAAAAAAATTGGAAAATTAGTGCCTAATTAATTAATTGATTATTAAGAAACTAGATGGCAGCAGTTGCTTAAAATTATATAAAAAAAAATTAAAAAAAAAACAAATTCTAAACTAAACCAATTAATTAATAAAAAACAAAAAAACATTTATTTTTAGTAATTAATTTTAAAAACACGTGTAGGAAGTGTGATGACATTGAGATTGGGTTTATTTTTAGAACTAGAATCAAAAAATCGTCTTCGAACGGTAAATTATGTTTCATATATTTATTTCCTTCATGCACACACGATTCTCTCTATTAATTTTTAATTAAAACTGACACGAAAAAGTGGAGTTGATGAAGGAAAAAAGAACACAAATAGCTTTCGGCTGCTGCCAAATAAGAGAGATGATGACCTGCGGTCATCTCCCCCAGTAAATGAAGAAAAAAAAACGTAAAGAAAGAAAGAGAGAAGATAAAAGTGTAAGGAAAAAAGATGAAAGATGTAGAAGGAACAGCTTTCTAAAAGTTGCAGTGGATTAAAAGGCGATCATTAATAATTGAAACGCTTCTCTTTCTTCTCCTATCTGGGATCGTTTATCAGGTGGAGTGCATGTAACAACGCGTGTATCTCTTCTTTTTTTCTTGTCTTTCATCTTCTTGTACTTCTTTTCCACGTGGATCCGATCAAGAGGATTCGGATCTGTTAGAAAGTTTTTCTTTTACCCCACATTTGGTGGAAGCCTTGATCTTGATTCCTACAGTGGATTCTTTGGTATTAATGTAATAATGAGGATAAAAATTAAGTAGAAACCATTACCGCTCGATTTCACGTCGCTACAAACCTGTTGCTCTGCTTCTCCACTCTAACAGCAGGTGGAGCATACATAATTTTTTAACTTCTTCAATAATCCAAGAACAATATTTCATATTTTTACCAACATTTGTTAATTTTTAAAGCATAAAATAATTTATACAAAATCTATAGTTTTATAATAACTAATTAAAACAATCGCTAAATTCAATATCTCTAAAATAAACTATTTTTTTTGTATGATTTACATGAAATATAATAACTAATTTAATAGGATTTAAGTATGAAAATTAAAATTTTGTTTAATAATTCGTACAAGAATTTACATAGATTCTAAAAGACAAAATATGTAAACACTTTGAACTTCTGAAACTATTACGTGAAATTAAGCATTAAATTACAGAAAATCTAATATTAACTCAGAATTACTCATTTTACTCTTGATTTAACTCTAATCTAAAAATAAGTCACAAATTACTAGTTTAATACAAAAATAGTAAAAAAATATTGATTCAAAACTCAATAAGACAACAATAAAGTGAAATTTCCAAAAAATCTATAATTTTCTATATTTTTTTAAGAATTTTTAAAAAAAATTGTAATAAAATAAATTATTTTTTCTTAAACTTCTTTTATTAACATAAATTGTTACTAACTATTTTTTTTTTATTATTTATTAAAGATTTTTAAGTCTAAATATTTCTTTTATCTATACTATATGCAAATTACTTCATAGTTAAGAAAATCATAACGTTTTGTTTATGTATTTATTTACTTCACAAAATTTGTATCCATATTTTCATACACTTTTAGTTTATACTTTAACTTGTGATTAGATGATTTTGTTGTGTAATTATTAAAGATCAGATTAATGCATTTCTACTTACCAATAAGATTTTGTGATTAGTAATTTTATCTAACAATTTTTTTAAATAATTATCAAAAACTATATGAATTAATTACTTATTAATGAAGATGATATTATCAAATTGTTAATTACCAACCAGATCTTATGATTTGAAAGATATTGTCTAATTATTCTTGTAATTTGGATTGTTATCTAATGATTTTTTTTATAATTACTAATGAAGATGAGATTAACTAAATGTTACTTTGCAATAAGTTTCTGTGATTAAAAAGATGAGATTAACTAATTGTTATTTACCAATAAAAGTTATTCTAAGTTTTGTGATTAAAATGATACTAGTTATTCCAATAGTCTTGGATTCATTTAACTTTTTTTTTATAATTATCAAAAATCCGATTAACTAGGTAGTCACTAATTAATAAGAGATTAACTGATTGTTACTTACCATTTAGATTTTGTGATTAAGAAGATGTTGTCTAATTATTGAAGATGAGATTAACTAAATATACTTAGAAATAAGATCTAGTTATTACAGCTGGTGTGATTAATAAGATATTATCTAATTATTGATAGATGAAACTTACCAATCAATACAAAAATCTTGTGATAAATATTGATGATGAATGATTAAAATGTTGTCTTCTCGTTTCAGGAACTGCCAGAGGAAAGGGCGGTAAAGGAGGTATGGGTGGAATCATGATCATGGGTTTGATGATGGGAAAGATGATGGCCGCTTTGGGTCTCGGCGGTGTCGGTCTCTTAGCCATGAAAGCATTGATGGTCTCCGCTTTAGCTCTGATGCTCTCCATGGTCATCGGCCTCAAGAAATTGGTTTCCTCCGAGCACGACGACGGCGGACACACCGTGATCCACGCCTCCCACGGACACGACCATCACAGGAGGAAGCGCGAAGCCACAGACATGGCCTACCAAGGATGGGCCGACCAACAAAGCTAAACAACAACACCAAAAAACCCATTATTTTTTTGGAGCAAATTAATCTATAATATTTATTTATTTATTTAAATTAATTGAAACCAATGCAGTCCGCAGTTACAAGGACCGTCTTTACCAACAATAGTTATCATCATTCTATCAATCTTCATCTGTCTTCCAATACTTATTCTCTTCTCTTTCACACGAAACACTATTTTCTTCTTCTATTAATTATTAGTTTAGATATGTTATTTATTTTTTTCTTCCCAAGCTCTAATCTTTGTAAATGTAAATACAAGAAAAAGAAATGCAATTAAAAAGGAGAAATAAAGAATAATTTATAACGCCGAGATCCGTGTGTGTTTGTTTATTTGTTTGTTTACGTGCTCATTTTTCTTTCTTCAATTTAAAATTGTGATTGCGTTGACCCAGTGATGCTCGAAGAGCATCGATTTTCTCTTCCTTATGTATGTTATACCTCTCCACCTCTACGATTCATTTAGTTTATTTTTTTTTAATGAATTTTCCATCCTCCGCTTCCTCTTCTTCTGTCTCTGATCCTTCTCTCGTCTTTCTCCGGCGCGGAATAGTTAAAAATGAGAAAGCTGGTATCAAGTTCGTTACCTAGAAATACACTGACCCAGTTTCCGAGAGACTGGTTTCACGAGGAAGTCGCGCCGTCGTTGACCATGGCCTTTGAGGAAGAGGAGGAGCAGAAGAGTGGATGTAGAGGAATGCGCTCGAGGCGGATGAAAGCCGTTCGAGGAGAAGAAATGGTAATTGTAGTGGTGGTGGTGGTGGAAAGAAGTAGAAGAAAGTGTTAAACAGAACCAGGTCAGAGCGTAAACAAAAACAGGAACCGATTCATTCTAAATTCGATTGCGAGGGAAGATTGGATCGATGCGAGATTGAAAGATCGTAATTAAGAGATGATGATGATGGTTATAGTAACATTGGGTCATTGGTTTTTTTTTGTAGCAATTTGTGAGGCACCTGCTGCTCTCTGGTTGTTCGGTGGACGGACGGAGCGTTTCTGCCGGTCGTTGGAGACTCATTGCTGGCTTTATAAGGATATGAAGAAGACCCGGAGACCCAGATTCGTGAATTGTCGCGGTCGACGGAGAGATGGAGTTGCTGGATGAATCAAGGACGAAGAAATTGGAGGAGAAACGAAGAGATTGAAAGAAAGAGACGTTGAGATTGAAACAGAGTGATGTTGAGATCCTGGGAACTAGTTTTCCTCCGGTTCGATGAGAGCATTGGGAAAAGGAAGCAGGGCGACATGTGCTTAAGTGTTCCGATCCTTAATTTCCGCAACTAGGCTTTGGAAATTTACCATATGTCATGATGGTTGGTGTTTGTGCGCGCCAGAAGACGCGAGAGGAGAGCCATTCATTAATGAAAGACGTGCAGCCGCCGCCGCAGCCGCAGCCGCCGCCTTTCGACACGATTCCCAAATGGTTCGTTAATAATCGACTAATTGCTTTGCAGTTAATTGACCTCAGTCTTCATCATATTTCAATATAATCATTATTTCTAGATACATTACAGGAATATTCATCTCATGGAAGAATACAATAATTCCTTTGTATTTAAGACATTTTAGATTATCAAATTTATATTGTTTTTTTTTTCAGTTTCCAATTACTACATTCCATAAGATACAATTTAACTTATCACCAATTAAAGTAGCATCATCTGCAGATGTTGCTTAACTTTTATAAGATGTCATATAGGAAGTAACTGATTGGATAGAATATATCCAAATTACCAATCAGTATTCATTTCAACATATGTTGACAAATTCACCACTTCAAGTGGAATCTTTTACAGGTGTTGCTTAACTTTTATAAGATGTCCAATAGGATGAAACTGATTGATATCAACTGATGTACTCGAAGCTAGAATATAACGAAACCACCAATCACAGTATTGATTTCAACATGTGTTGCTTAACTTTGTAAAATAAATTGAAATGTTACCATTTTAAGTAGCATCCTTTAACATGTGTTGCTTAACTTTTATAAGATGTCAAATAATAGGAAGCTGATTGATACCAACTGCTGTACTTCGAAGATAGAATATATCCAAATCACCAATCAGAGTATTAATTTCAACATATGTTGACAAATTCACCACTTCAAGTGGAATCTTTTACAGGTGTTGCTTAACTTTTATAGGATGTCCAATAGGATGAAACTGATATCAACCAATGTATTCGAAGCTAGAATATAACGAAACCACCAATCACAGTATTGATTTTAACATGTGTTGCTTAACTTTGTAAAATAAATTGAAATGTTACCATTTCAAGTAGCATCCTTTCAGGTGATTGCTTAACTTTTATAAGAATGTCAAATAAGAGGAAACTGATTGATACCAACTGCTGTACTTGAAGATAGAATATATCCAAATCACCAATCAGAGTATTAATTTCAACATATGTTGACAAATTCACCACTTCAAATGGAATCTTTTACAGGTGTTGCTTAACTTTTATAAGATATCCAATATGATGAAACTGATTGATATCATCTTATGTACTCGAAACTAGAATATAAGGAAACCACCAATAACAGTATTGATTTCAACATGTAGTTGCTTAACTTTGTAAAATAAATTGAAATGTTACCATTTCAAGTAGCATCCTTTACATGTGCTTAATGACATTATACCACTTGTACTAGTGAATTGAATCATCAGTTGCTAAATTGTGTTAATGTAGACCACCTGATGTACTTGCTTAACTTTGTAGAATGCATTCAAATGTTACCAATTCAAGTAGCAACCTTCAGTGCTATTGCTTAACTTTGATAAGATGTCAAACATGAAGTACCTGATTGATACCAACTGATCTACTTGAAGATAGAAAATATGCAAACATCCAATCAGAGTATTGATTTCAACATATGTTGATTGTTTTTGTAAAATAAATTATACTTTCACCAATTCAAGTATCAACCTTTATCGACGTTGTTTAACTTTTCTTAGATCTATAGATAAAATATCTGATTTATACAAACTTCTTGTACTTTATTGATTCTATCAATACTAGCCTTTGCAAAATAAATTAAACTGTCACCAATTCAAGTAGCATATTTTACTGGTATTGCTTAACTATTCAAAGATGTCAAATATAAAGTACCTGAAGACCTGTCACTAATTTAAATACTATCACTGCCAACTACCATTCTTTGAGATATCACCAATTCGAGTAATTATACTTAACTTTTCTTTATTAATTGAACTTTTACTAAACATAAAGTATCTGATTTATACCAACTTCTTTACTTTATGATAGAATCAATACTAAATTAAATTGTCACCAATTAATGGAAGCATCTTACACGATATTGCTTAACTTTTCTAAGATGTTAAACCTAACGTACCTGAAAACTGTCACCAATTCAAGTTCTATCCACTACAAATACTGCTGTACTTTCAACAATTATATACTGGCTATTCTTTGAGATTTCACTAATTCAAGTAATTATGCTTAACTTTTCTTTATTAATTGAACTTCTACTTAATTAAGATTATATTATAAATATAAATGTGTTAATGAATATTCAATAATAAATTAATTAACATTTGTTAATTGACTATTGTGAATATTCATTGTGAAGTAATAATTTATGAATGAAATTTCGTTAACTTTTTTTATGCATTTACATAGTTTTTCGTACAAATCATTCTTTCTTTCTATATCGTAAAAACGTATTAAGTTTTCATAAATCTCTCGAATATGAATGCTTAAGTAGTAATTTATGAATGTAGGTTTGGAATGTTCAGTATTTCTAACTGTGAATTGGGTTTCATACACATCGTCATACAATTTACATCCTTATTTATGGATTTAAACGGATTTACTTTATATATACTTTTACATATTACATTTTTTAATTAACATCGAGTAATTAACAAAAACATTGTTTGAAAAAAAAAGAAATAGAAAATGTTCAATATCTCAGTTATTTATTAACTCTAAGTAACAGTTATTATATAAAAAGATGCGCAATTAAAGTCTGTTTGTTATTTAATCAAGATATGTATTAGCAGTTTTATCATTAATCTGTAAAATAAAAAATAATAAAATTAGTGAAAATTTAACAAAAATTGAAAAATCGTTATATCTTTGTTATTAATTTACGTTACTTAATAATAATTGTATCAAAGATGCACAATTGATGATACTTTCTTATGTAATCATCATTTATTTAAAAAACTTTATAATTAATCTGTAAAATAATAATGATTTAAAATTTAATGATAAAAAAATAATTTAAAAAAATCGAAAGAAAAAATAAAAAATATGAAAAATAAAATTGATTTTTTTTTAAATTTTTATTAATACTTAATATTACTTACAATTAATATAAATCATAAAAAATATAAAGCAACAAAATTACGTAATTATATAAAAAAAAACTATAATAAATTTGTTTTTAATTTTATTGTGAAAATAAACATGATGTATTAATTATAAATAAATGTAATTTTTTGATATAAACTAATTTAATTATTGATAATGTAAAAATACTTGATTTGAATAAAAAGTAGTGAGATTTATTCCGTGAAGCACGCAACCAACAATACTTTGAGGTTTGGTTGGTACACTTTCAAATTGATGCAAATTTCTGTTCCAAATTTACTTCAATTTCGGTAAATTACTACTGAAATTATGAATAAATTACTTTTAATTAGTAATAAATAAATTAACATCAATTATTTTGTTATAATTAAATTAATTACTTGTTGATTATTGTGAAAATATGATTAAAATCTGAATTTTCTGACTTTTTTTTGATGATTAAAAATGAATTGAGGTGTGCACCTTCGTTTGGATGTGATAAACGGCGAGAAGAAAGTTCTTTTCGCCTACGATAACAGTAAAATTCGATGAGTGACGCAACGCGCGGCTCGGATTTGTCATAAAGACAAAATCGCCGATTGAATCGTTATATAAATGGTTCAATTTGTATATAAAACACAAATAAAGAAATACAAAAATAATAATAATA